CTTGCTTTGCTTTTCATCTTAGGGGAAAAGCACTCAGTCTTTCATCATTATGTATGAATTTAGCTGTAGATTCTTCAATGATACAGTTTTATTTTGCTTTGTTTTCCAGGTGTGGATTGGTTTAGTGAAATTCCACTCATCAGTTATAGAGTCACCTGTCTGGGGTGCTAGTTCTGGACTGACCAGTACCATTATGGAGACTGAATGAGGACATTCTTTTTATTTTGTTTTAGTTAAAATGTCACTTTCCCAGGAACATCTTTGCTGAGCCTCCAGACTAGACTCATAGCACCCTGCAGTTATCACAATAACAAATGCTTGTCAGCATCACTCTGCCTCCTAACTTAACTCCACAAGTGCAGTAGCTATGCTGTCGTTCACAGTTCTACCCCAACAGAGATTAGCACACACAATTGGGTGTTGCTGCAAACCAGCCTCATCTACTGTGTTTCATTTCCTGGCCTTGACAAGGGATACTGTTGTAAAGGGTTCTGTTTCTGCCTCTGTCTGCACCTCAAAGACGGAGATGCTGCTGTATTTGTCTTTGCTCTCCAGCACCTAACACAGTTTGGCACTAAGTAACCCTTAGTAACTTCTGTGAGTCACCTTGAAGCTACTCAAAAAGGAATGAACAAAAAATGTTAGATGCAATTCATGCCCAACAATGAGAAAAAGGCAAACCTTACCTTCAACAGGGCCAACTTGATTGGTCACAGCAAATCGAAGCACTCCTTCTTCATCATTGTACAAGGCAAAGACCCGGTCCACATTCAGCTGCTGCGTGGTGGAGATGGCCTGGTGTCTGGGGGCATGCCTGCAGGTCTGGTACGTGATGTTTTGGTGGATGTGGTAGGAACGTGTTTGGTTGATGGCACCAAATATGAGAGAATAGTCTCTGGAACTTGTGGAGGTCACGACTACAATAGACACATTATGAAAACAAACTGGTGAGTGAATGAGTGAACAGATAACAGACAGACAGACAGATAGATACAGAGATTTTCATGTGGCATCAATTTTTCTTCATAATTTTTATTGTTGATGTTGCTTAATACATTTATTCTATCAAGAAGATGTATGATCATAGTTTATAGATTGATTCATACAAAAAAAAATTACTACTAAAAGATCTATGGATACTGGTGAATGGTAAATCTAGTCTTTTGAGGTTCATTCTTAGATTTTAATGCTAAATAATGACAATTACTAATTCAAGCTGGTCTCAGTGTGTATCTTGGCCTTTAGCCATTCTACACACACTGCCACTTATTGTCCTATCTTTTAAATATGAGAAATA